GGGCAAGTTAACCCACGTGGCGAGTTAACCTACATGGCGAGTTAAAACCACACGGCGAGTTAACCCACGTGGCGAGTTAACCCACGTGGCGAGTTAACCCACACGGCGAGTTAACCCACACGGCGAGTTAACCCACGTGGCGAGTTAACCCACGTGGCGAGTTAATCCACGTGGTGAGTTAACCCATGGCGAGTTAACCCACATGGTGAGTTAACCCACATGGCAAGTTAACCCATATGGCAAGTTAACCCACATGGCGAGTTAACCCACATGGCGAGTTAACCCACATGGCGAGTTAACCCACACAGAGAGTTAACCCACATGGAGAGTTAACGCACACAACGAGTTAACCCACGTGGCGAGTTAACCCACATGGCGAGTTAACCCACGCAGTGAGTTAACCCACATGGCGAGTTGTTAACCCACGTGCCACGATGTTAACTCACACGGTGCTGGGTGTGCAGCCCAGTGACCTCCCTCTGCGGCAGAAGCCGTGGGCCGGCTGTGAGCAGCCCTGCCCAGGGGCAGGCACAAGGAGCAGCCCTGGAGAAGGGAGAAGTCCGCTGGGTTCGACAGCTTCTCAATGGGTTTGTGCCAAGACCAAGGCAAGGAACGTTTATCACTGAGTCGGGTGAATTAAACATTCACGTATATTTGCTGAAAAAAATTATATACATCTGTAGCAAGGCTCTGCCAAGTCTGAAAGATAAGCATCATCTAGTCACTAAATTAAAAAAATAAAAATCTGACTTTTAAGTCCTTTTCTTTTCATCCATGTTCAAGAGCACAGACAGTTTATTTTGTTAGCACATTTGGTGAAGAATGTATGTTTGTGTGAGTAGCCATGAACACCGGTGAAGATTTGGCGTTGGTTTTGGATATGATGGAAAATAAGCAGCCACTTACGCCTTACAGTCTAAATAATCCACAGAGTATATGGGGTTGCAAAAGGGTCACAAAGCAGCAGTCAAAGAGAAGCCTGAACACCCAGAGACGCAGCATACATGGCCAAGAAGGAAGAACAAGGTATAGAGCATGCTGGCTAAGTAAATAAATTTCACTTTAAACCCTGTTCCCTATGCACGTACCCCCTGAAAAACCACCCCGCAACAAGAAATGGACTCTGAAGAGATTTCTGCATCCATTCACAGTAAGGCTTTGAAGATAGATGAAGTTTTATAGCATTTGTATTTTAAGGGTTTAGGGCAAGTACATGTTCTTCTACTGAATAAAAAGAAAGTTAGTACTTAAAAGGTTCAAAAATATATCAATCGTGATTTTTTTTTTTACATAAATAAATTATATTGATTTTGGATTTAACAGCTGAAAAAACCCTTTCTGCTTCCACTGGAGGCAAAACTGAACAAAATGTTAGTTAAATAGAGATAGCAGCATTTCTAAGAAATCTGTTGATAGTGATACAGTATCTGTGCTACAAGGACGTTATTAAATAGAAGACATTTAATTACCGGGGAGGGGGCTGCATGACGATTGGTTACACACTTCAAAAGAATCACCCAATTCCGTGAAAATAAAAACCAAATGCTTTGTAGACCATGGGTAACAGACTTCTTTGAGATGCTAATTTTAACACGTACATAATTTATAATCCCGAATGTATAAAAGACAATGACAAAAAGCATCATAAATAAATAATGCAAACTGAAATAGTTACGTCAAAACATTTGGACCACCTGATAAATTAGCAAAACCGTAGCAGAGAATAAGTAAAAAATACAGTAAATTGTGACAACCCAATGTGAAACCGATGACTAGCACGCTCCCAACTCCCTCACCAGCCTTTTGTCTCACTGCTGCACCACCGCGGGTTTATTTCAAGTCTCAAACCATGAGCTGCAAAGAAGAACAAGCCCAAGTGAAAGAAAAACTGAATGAGGAGCGGGGGGGAAGGAGAACCAAGAGGAGTCGCCCAGGGAGGTGTCCCCACACCCAGAGCTGCAGGGGCTGGTGGCATCAGAACCCGGCCATTGCAAATGTGGATGTCGAAATCGTTTGCCTGTGGGGGTGGGACTGGGAAGTACTGCTCAACAGCAATCGGAATGGAAAGAAGAAGCCAAGGTCATCTCTTCACAGTCTAACGCTAGAAAAGAAGAAAATCAAGCTCTGAAAGCCTCAGCGGTCCTTCCTGGAGGAGCCTCAAACAGGAAAGCTGGCTACAGCCTTTTCCTTGTTTGCTGGAAGGATGTTGCTTCTGGGGGAAGAGTGCGAAATATAAAAACTCAGAAAGCCTCAGTGTTTGTATACGAGCATTAAAATCAGTGTGGCCTGTTCACGGCTGGAAAAAAATACCTTTACAGCACTTGTAATGCCATAGCTGAGAACTAACGCCATCGAGGAGATCTGAAGACCAGCAGAATGATGAAGAAACTGGCAGCTACCGGTACAGTAATCCCAAAAAAGTCATGCAAGATGTGCAAAACCTTTCCAGCACAAGCTGAAAAGTTCTTGTAACTATCCAGGAAAGGGCAACTAAACTCCACGTAACGTAAAACCAAACTTTGATTGTAAAAAATACAAAAGAATGTCTACATTGTGTTTTCACTCGCTGCAGTTTGTCTCCAAACCTTTGAGGTGGGACTGATAAAGAAGTTGTATCACCACCAGTTACGCTGTTTCCTTTCAAAGAAATGAATATATGTATTTTCAATCATTAGTTATATACTTCTGTCTATACTACTATGCTAGTAACCATGATAAAATAGGGAAATACTTTAAATCAGAAATACACATTAGCACTTACTATAGCTGTGCTTTTTACCCCCAAGTACAGGCTTTTTCCTTCAGTGTCGCTGTAGACAGAAATACCCTTGTTTATGTGTAGACCAAGAGGTAAAGACTTTCCTTTTGCTCTTGTTTTTTTTGCTGCTTTTTCTTCTCAAAGGAGTGAGCAATTTGGGGGGGTGACCGAGTACTGGATTTGCTATTGTCGGCTGGGATGAAGGACTGGAAAAACAGAATGAGAATTCAGTGCCTCCCATACTAGCTAGACAACACTGTTTATCTAATAAAGTGGCAAGACCCTGCAACTATTAACATGTAGCATGTCACCAGAGTTTTTCCTGACAGGGAAGTAGGTAGGTAATATTACTCATGGAAACACAGGTTTATGAAGGCGGAGCGGGGCGGGAGGGTAAGTAACAAAGAGTTTATGGGATAAGAAACTCACAAGCCACAATCTTTTTGTGGTTTTTTTGTTTTTCTCAATGAAACAAAAGTTCTAATTGGTATCGCGAGCTGCTTCGCGCTCCTCCTCCACTGGTCCATCCTCTTTCTCTGCCGACAACGGCGGCGTTTGCTCTGTACAGTTTTGACCGTTTGCAGCTTCTTTTTCCAGCAGCGAGACAGTTTCTGGCTCTGGGTTTGCCGATTCCCCTTTCGGTTTCTTTCTCTTCCGCTTCTGGCTTTCCAGGTTGGCCGCCTCCGCGTGCCTGGTTTGCTGAATGCCGGGCAGCGCCATGCTGATGCCGGGGGAAAGGAACATTGAGGGATAGATCAGTCCAGGAGACATTCCTGGGATAAGAAATGGGTTAAAAGCTACAGGACTACTGGTAGTTATTGCGGACTCTGTCTGATTAGAAAACGAACTGGGACCAGGCTTATCTTCCGAGAGAGTTTCTTTTTTCACGTCCTGGCTACTCTGTTTATCCTCGAGAGCTTTCTCAGCGTTGGCCGTACCACTTTTCGTTGTGCTTGTTAACGAAGTCGGAGCAGTCGCGGTACAAGTGGTTGTCATGGGGGGGTTGAGAAGTCCTCCAACGCCAAACATCTGTGGTACAGTGGCCATGCCCGGCAGCATCATGGGCAACATACTCAGGGTGCTTTTCACATCCTCGCCGGCGGGCACAGCTGCAAATCCAGCAGGAAACCCAACCAGCCCGGTCAGAGGGATCCCTTGCATGTTTCTCATGTTCTGCAGTCCTACCAGATCCATCCCAGCAATCAGTCCATTCATGAACAATGGTCCCATTCCAGAAGAAGAATCTGCTACGACACCGGGGCCTTTAATGAGTTCGCTTCGGGGCCTCCTCCCCCTCCGGCGCGGCCCCGCGTCTCGGAGCACAGGCTCAGTGAGGATGCGATTGAATTTGCTTTCCGGCAAGTAGCCCTGAAAATGGAACAAACACAACAGAAAACACACAACAGTTATTACTGCATCAAAGGAAATCTGGCTTTTCTGTGCTTGCACCTGCATCTCAGATGGTGTCAGCACAGAACTATTTGCCTACATGATATGGAGTTTGAGAGGTATGCACAACTTTTCCCCAAGGGATGCTGCCAAATGCCAAACACCCTTGCTCTGCCCCGGCGTGATTCACAGTGTCAGAGTGCACAGGGAGGAAAGGACGAAGCACATTTTTACCCCGCGTTTTCACCGGAGCCCTCAGCATCGGCCGTTCACAACACGAGAAGCACCCGGGCCGCTCTGTGTCAGGCGCCAGCTCAGCTCCCTGCCCGGCTTTAACATGAAAACTCACATCTTTCAGACGCATGGGATGACACACAGAGAGGGAATATGCTGTCTGAGGAGCTCCCGCTTCAGACATGGGACCAAGAACCAGCAGCCACCTCTGGGCAAGACTGCCTGGTTACACAGAGCAGAGCAGGGCGATCCATAGCGCGGTTTGAAACTCCAGTTTTCAGCACCTTCATCACAGACATTTTAACATTTCCCTTGGTGGCTCCCTTGAGTTTCACTACTGCTGCTCTCTGAGCAGTTACCAGCAATAGATTTAGGCAGGAAAAGTACTTCCTGTTGACACCTGCAGTGCAGAGACGTGAATCGCACAACCTGGCAGCCTGCACAGCACGGCCTCTGCCCAAAGAGGGGGAACCTTCTGCTCTGCTCCCACCTGGGAAAACCCGCGTGGGACCACAACCATGCCCAAGCTCTGCGGAGCAGCCGACCCTCGCGTCCCTGCCGGCCCAAGCACCAGAGCAGCCGGCTGTCCCTCCACGCGCTTGTGCCGTGCCGGGCGCGCACTCGCCGAAAGCAAAGTGCAGATGGGGCTGGGGGAGCAAACGCTAATGGGCACGCAGCCGCCCAGCCAGGGCACAGGGGCAGTGGCCAGACACACGGCTACTCCTCCTGGCACACAGACAGCCCTCTGGAAGCACAGGGATGGCAGAGCTGCCAGCTTGCACGGGTGCTGGCCGCCCCTGCAGGACACTGACGCCAGCCTGGACATAGAGCTGTTTCCTGGGGAGTGAGACAGGCTGTGCCAAATCTTCAGCGCTCATTGAAAGTAAATTTGAGAGCAGTACCAACCTCTAAGCCAATTGATTGCCCCTCCAGACCCTGCAAGGGCATCACACAAACCACTGCCGCCACAAAACCAGGGAGCAGGCGAGAGGGACCGCAGGGAGGTCTGGATGTGGCTGGCCCACGGGACGGGAAGGGCGATCTGACAGCACCCGTGTGCCGCAGGGATGAGGGCTTCTCTGCGGCTCTGCCACGTGCCAGGGCAGGGGCCAGGGTATGAACAGGGTGAACAAGGCGGCGAGGCGAGGCTCTGCCCTGCCCCGCTCCCTGCCCGTGCCTGAGCCCGCAGGCCTGGTGACCCATGGGGTCGGCAGGCCCAGAGCTGCACAGGCAGAGTCTGCAGGAGCTGACGAAAGCCTTGGCTCAGGGCGTCTTTGAAAATTTGACCTGTGACAATGTGTTTTGTCCACTCCCTGCCATCCAGCACCCAAGGTGCATCACTGCTCCTAGGACACTGCTCTCGCTTTTGCTATTTCTAAGCCTCCTGAGGCTTTCTGGGCAGCCACCTGGAGCTGCTGAGCCCCATTCCCAGGGCGCTGAGCCTCTCCTCTCCTTCCCCGGCCGCAGCGCTGAGCTGTGGCAGGGGGGCCGGCCT